ACACACACACACACACACACACACACACACACACGCACACACGCATACAAACACACACACTGAGCATTCTGCTGTCAGGCCTCTGAAAATCATCTCTGACACCAGCAGGGGTCTGTCATGTTTCTCTAATAAGCAGCTGAGGCAACGGACTGAGGAATCCCAACCATGAGGTGTCACGCCCCCTTTTAGTTGGCCGCCAGCCATGACATGTCCGAGCCGATTGGCCGGGTGAGGAATTCCACTCACTTCTCATTGGCTGCTGCTGGGACCAGATGATAGCATATGCAAATGGTCTAGTTGAGGCAGTTGAAATCCCAGAGTGCTGTGCAACCCCAGCAGTAAAAGACAGAGAGAAGGGAAGGGGGTGTGACAGCAGCAGCAGCATGCGCTTCTAGAAAAATCTCCTCTGCAGAATTCAAAAAGGACTTAAAAACTTTAATGTATTCTCCTTGGAACGGCTTATACTTTATTCCATGAGTGCTGCAAGGTAAGGACACTTAAACTAGTTTGTTTTAGGTTTTATTGAAGTTATTTGTGTAAGAGAGGGAATAGCTGGGTGCCTTCTTCTTGTATATGTTAAAAATAACATGTAACTTAAGATGTGTAAAAAAACATTTTTCTTGCTTAAACTGATTGTTTAACATCATATTAGCTAAAGAAAAAGTTTTAAAGTTGTGAACTGTGGGTAAAGTTACACTAATATTCTTTTGTTTTCCTTGTTTCTGTCCCTCAGTGTGCTCACATCTTACAGCCCATCAGTAATGCCTGGCCCCGTAATGACGGACGTGGCAATGAGATTCTACATCAGCCACTCTCCACCTCCCCTGCGAAGCTTCATCAGCTCCTATGGGGACCTGCAGAGGGCCAAGAACCGGGTCAACCAGTCGAATGCCAACAGTCGCAACCAGCAGCGCTTCAAGCCCCTGCGACCCTGTCTCAGCCACCATCACAGGACGGTGGATGACGGCAGCCATGTTGGCTGGAGCAAAAAGAAAACCAGTAAGAAGAGGGTGGTGTTTGCTGACTCCAGGGGCATGTCTCTCACAGCCATCCACGTCTTCTCTAAGTTTGAAGATGAGCCGTATCAGAATAAGCCAGATGACGGGATCTCAGAGGAGCTGCAGTTCGACATGACAGACCTGGAGACGGCCACCATGGACCTAAAGATCAGCTCAGTCCGCAGCCTGGCACTTGACTTTAAACAGCCCTCAGCCGACTATTTGGACTTCCGGAACCGTCTGATGCAGAACTCCGTCTGCTTGGAGAACTGCTCGCTGCAGGAGCGCTCGCTGACCGGCACCGTCAAGGTCCGCAATATCGGGTTCGAGAAGTCTGTGCAGGTGCGAATCACCTACGACTCGTGGGCAACTTTCAGTGACGTTGACTGCACCTTCATGAACAACATCTATGGCTGCCAAGACACAGACACGTTTGCGTTTGTTCTGGAGCTGCCAGCCTACATCCCACCGCAAAACCGGGTCGAATTCTGCATCTGCTTCAAGGCCCAGGGCCAAACCTGCTGGGACAATAACGACGGCAAAAACTACGCTCTCAAACATGTCGGCTGGAGAGGAGAGGACTTGAACCCGGCTGCTGCTGAGCGAGAGAAGCCCATTGAGCACAAAAGTGGGGGCGGCAAGTTAACGGAGCTGGGCTTCGATCAGTTCGGCAGCCCACGCATGTCCAGCGGACTCTTCCCGGGCTGGCAGAGCTGGGGTCAGATCGATAACATTGTGCCTTATTGGTGAGGACATCACAGGGGGACAAATCTGTGTTTGAGCACAGCCAGAAACTAGCAACGAAGCAAACAGTTTCTGCACACAAACCAGACAGAAACCAAAACGTAAAGAGCTGAACTGACCTGCTTTTAGCTCCAACACGGTCATTTGGCCTGATTAATGATTAAACAGTGTCTGGAACAGAAGGAGGGCTGTCCGCTGGAGGGGAAAACTGTCCTGTTTAACTTGTAAAATACTGATGTGCCTTCTCATTGTGCCTTCCCACTAAAACACAGATTGTAAGGCATGATCCCGAGCCCCTTTTGGGGGGCCTGACGTATTAGAGTGCACTGACTGTGATGTCCCTCTCAATGTGACATCTGTAATCCAGGCTTAATAAATCCTTCATATTGAAGGGAAAGGTTGGGGAGTGCATGGCAACAAAACACTTAGAGAAAACACTAAACGTCTGCACAACTCCCCCTGAAATAACAATAATAAAAGTAATAATAATAATATTATTAACGATGCACATGATTTCAAATGGCCTCACTTTTTAAATGGGAGCCATGCAGCCCTGTCTTTCCCTCCGTGTAAATTGAACATGTTTGGTGAAGAGTGATGTAATTCTGAGGCCAGATTAGAGAAGGAAGTACTGCTAATAAGTGAGTTGTCACAGGAAGGTAATTGCATGTGATTGGTTGGCTGGGACAGGAAAGAGGTTTGGAAATTTGTGGGGGGTTTTAGTATGTGAAGCAAAAGAACTGATGAAAAGTTTGAAAGTGCCATTGTTCTTGCTCTTACTCCAAGTGCAATTTTTGATCACGACTGTACAGAATGTATATATGAAATGTTGATCAAATCCTTTTTTTCTGAAGCTGTTTTTTTTTTTTTTTGTCGCACTTGGAAGAAAGGCCAGGCTTTTTTTTTTGTCTCACTTGAAGGTGCGTGCTACTGACATGCACCATGTTGGTTCTCTTTTCAAAATAAATTTCTATATTTGTGCTAACACGTAAAAGTCTCCAGACTCTTATTTTTTTAATGTGTGTGCTTTATTACACCACTAAATTACAGTTTGTGCATGTCACACTGCTTAAAACGTGTGTAAAGGGTAACTGTCATCTAATAATACATCATATTTTAGCTAATTATCTGTAAAGATGACAAAGTTATAGCCATGTTTAGCTGCGGCTGCCTTCGTAAATTGAGTTGACTTTAGTCGTCGGTGTTCATCAAGTGCAAACGTTTTGGGAGTTCCACTAAATTCCATCCTGTGAAATATTTTGCTAACATAAAGAGAGGCAAAAACATTTCATGGCAGTAGGTGATAATAAATATATTTTTTCACACTATATGTTATGTGAATATCACTCATTTGTTTTTATTTACAAAATATAATTGATAATAAACAACAAACTACTTGATCTGCATTAAGTCTAATAAAACAGTTTGCCCATTTTAAATTGTAATTTTAAAATATAGATATTTTGCACTCTTTTAATCCCACTAAATCAAGAGTAACCTTCACATAAAGGAATTATCGTGTTTGTTTAACTGTGTTTTATTACAGCGCAACCAAATTATTTTTAGTGTGCGACTCTCCTAAAGCCTGATTACATAAGATTTGTTTGTAAACAACCAGATGGGGAAAAGCATGTCTTGTGTTTACAAACACTGGAGTTTTAATGTCTGCAGACATTTAGAAGGAAACTGAAGCAGCTCCAATGAAATTTCATCATCTTTCTTCCCTAATGTGGTATAACATTTAGTGACAGACTTTTGTTATAATTTAATACAGCAAGCATGTTTTAATGCATACACTGTATACAAATTTTAATGGAAATGAAAAAAAGGAATGTTAAAGCAGAAGCCAGTGGCTGATAAAGATCATCATGTTAACCATGCACTTGCAGCCATCACTCCCTTACAGCACTTGTAATAAAACAAGCAATTTGAAACACTGAGTAAAAAACTATACATTGTAAAATATTCTTTCATTATAAATGTCTTCACACATTTCACTGTTTATATTTCTACATTTTTATATATATATGAGGAGTCCAAATAAACTGTTACTTTCAGTTTGTTAGGAGAAAGCTCGAGCTCAGATATAATGGATGTCAGTGAAAGTTGTGGTTTGCCTCTCTCCACACTTGAAGGGAAAACCACAAGACTTTTGGCACTGAAAACAGTAACAAAAATACATTTAAGTGGATGTACAAACTGTAAAAAGGTGTAAAGGCTGTGTGAGCAAAAATTGTTTGCAAAACTTAAATGTTAATGTGTAACATCATCACACTCAGTTGAAGAGGAACCAAAATTCATGTAACCTGTTCTGTAATTGTCCAGTGTTTTGTGTCTTGTTTGAACTTCAAATTATGTTTCTACAAATGTCTGAGTGTCTTTCACATGTGTTTCACTAAATTCCATTGTCTATGAGTAAATTACTTTTGCAATTTCTTTCACAAATCACATCCATGTCATTTGATCCACTGTTGCCAAACATCAAGCTGCTCTTTCAAAGCTTTAAAAGGAGTCACAAACTAAAAATTATGACAAAACAAAGGAAAGTTGGTCAAATGGTAGTGCTCATGCCGCAAATAAATAAACAAACCAACAAAGAAAAAACTTTATACTCAGCTGTTCAGTAAGAAAGGCCTAAATACAACACTGCATGAAAAGTGAGATTTTGGTAAACTGCTGTGAATTTCGCTAATTTGTGGCAATTATCGGCAATTTACAGCTCCTCACGTTCGCATTCTCCTGTGCCGAAAACTGCCGAAAACGTACCCCTAGAGGTAGCGGGGGGTGGGGGCCGTGGGGGACTCGGCCACCGGAGGTGTGAACGACTCTACTTACCCAGTGAATGGCAGCACCGCGGGCAGGAGCAGCAGCAGCAGACCCCCCTTACTCCTCAGTCATTGGATAAAACAAACGCCCTCCCCACTCATCTCTCACATGTGATTGGCAACCCACATAGCAGTTAGTCTGGCCCAGTTCTGGTCCCCACAAGGCCCTATAAATGACAGCCCTTTGGTGATCCAAATGTGGTTCTATATGTCTGGTAGATTGTGTTTTTCCCCTCGTTTTTCTCCTCAGGTTCAGCATGCATGCTGGTGCCAATATGGAGATATTGGAAGGACCATCCAGGACTCAGGACTATCCTATAAAGGAAACTCACCTGGAGGTCTGGGTTGGTCCTTCTCCTTTCTGCTGTTGATTGTGTGGCACACCTGTGTTGCTACTCTCGAGCCTTTTCTTTGGTTGAAAGGTTTGTGGTGGGGGTTTGCAGACTAGGTGGGGTACCTTGTACATTTTCCACACATTGGTTAATTATGACCCCCGCATGTGAAGCAGGGGATATATTAGGTTCGTACTGTTTATTATGACCCACGCATGCAAAGCATAAGCGGGAGTCATATTGTTTTCGTACTATGTATTTATTTATTTATTTTCAGTGATTTTTGATCAACCGTAGCACAAAAACAGCTGCACCAATCAACATGAAATTTGGCAGGACTGTAGATGAGTCCGACCTACACTGTGCCAGCCAACGGTTTTACAATAGACCCCATATTTGAAGAGGGGGCTCCTTTCAAAGAGGGGGTTGTCTGGACATGCAAAAATGCTTATAACCCAGAAAATGTTCAACATATGAGCTTCAGAATTCTTTTATTGTATAGCTCAGATGAAGCTCTATCCATTAGGGC